TGCATACTTATATGTTCGTTTCGTCTATGTAGAGAATTTTGGTGTCGGCATAAACTAGAGTTTTATTATCTTTGCTCTTCGTTGATGCCATGATAAGATCCAAAGACAGTAATTCAGATTAGTTATTAAAATAATTTGTTCCGTATTTGAATCCTAGGGCTTATGTTCAATAGCTGTCAAGTAGTCGCTTTCTTGCTGATAAATCGAACTTCTTTGATAATTGAAGTGTCTTGTGTCCAAAATCATGTTTGTTTTTGCTGAATAGGGCTTCTTATATATACTACCCCTTCGTCATTATTGCTTCTCCCCGTTTGTTACATTTTTTTTTGCCATGGTTTTGATGTAGTCAGTCTCCTTTAAATCTTTGCTTGCTAATAATTCTCGATTGGCTTTTCTCAACAATTTACCGTTCATTATCCAAAATCTGATCCTTGGACTATTTTACTGTCCAATTGTAAACAAGGGCATCGATTTCTAATTTTTTATTTTTTTAATCGGTGAGTACTGTAGAAATAGTCGTATCTTGCCGAGAAGTATAAATCATCTTGTATTGTGTCCATATATCGTAGAAACGTATTGCAGGCACCTTCTGTCGTTTTCACTAGCTGCCCAAGAAAAGTTGCATGGTTGTGTGAAGTGGGGCTCTGTGGATCGATAGATAAAGATTGTAAGTTAACATTATTGTATTTGTGATGGTTATCTTACTCTAACGGCGACTTAGTCTTGATGTAGAAGTCAGCACCACGTCGATAATCCAAACATTTGCACAATTGACTAGTCATTAAGCATATGGAATTCCCCTACGTTATTACTAACTCTCGATATAATCTTGAAATCATTTTCATAAGCACCGACCAAACCTCGAGAAATTCATTCATACCGAGTCTTGATTTGCTTACTCCAAATTTACGTTTTGAAGTCTTTTGCGACAGGGATTTTGGTGTTGGTCCAACGAGCTTTTTTCGTTTTTTGTTTTTGCACCTCACGGGTTGTTTTGATCTTTAGAGAAGTGATGCAATGGGTAGGTGGGGTCTTCAATTTTGTTCATCTTTTATATTTAATCTAATTTGTCTTTACATGTAGTTTTTGTAATGTTTTGCCTGAGAGGGCCTTATCTATCCTTGTCGCGTGATGCGATGAGAGATTTGGAACGTTGCCGCTTCGAAATTCAACCGGTCGGCTTTCTTTGTATCGTGCGCAAGGAATAGTTTCTCTCTCCTGCATTTTTTGTGACAGTAAATATCTTTCTTCAGCTCTAATGTTGAGAAAATTACACAATTTCTTCAGCTTCATTCTTTGATTTTGACAAGATTACACACAACGGTAAACTCTCTATGTCTGTTGATTACACACAACGGTAACCATTACAATAAACCCCTACCAAACACATGATTATAGTTGGGGGAGGGAAGAAGACGAAACATCTTTCTTCTTATTTTCAATGGCTTATTTATATAAACTATATATCTTTTACAAATCGGTTTTATTGAATAAAGGAATATAAAAATGTAAACGAAAAAAAATTACAAACCAAATATAAACTTTTAACGTTATGTTTGATTCTTTTTATATGTGTTTTTAGTGTTAATAATTATAAAATGAAGATAGTCCACCAACCA